GCATGGAAGTGGGGTGGGGAGAGAGCTTGGGGTCCATCTTCGGTGGGCCCATCCTTGCCCTGGGCTCAGGGGCTTCTGAAGGCTGAGAGGCGGGAGTGTGGCCAGAATGACCTTCCAGGCCTGTTCTGACTGGATCCAACCCTCTTGCCAACTGCGACTGGAGGCTGGGCTGAGGTCAGACATTCCGTCATGCCTGGGAAGAGGGGGTGGCAGCTCTGTCTACCTTCTGTCTCAGGCCGCTGGGCACCTAGGTGTGCCTGCCTCCTGGCGAGGTCAGCAGGGGTGGTCCCTGGATGCCCAGCGAGCCTGCACTCTGTAAGCATTTGCCTTCTGTAGCGGTCCCCTCCCGGCAGGACAGGAACAGGGTGACCGTTGGGGTGGGGGGCTGTCTGCCTGCCTGCCTGTCTGTGCTGGGCCCAAGGCCACTTCTTGATCGCATGAGGTCAAGATGCTACTGGAACCAGGAAGGAGGGACTGGAGGAGTTTCAGGCCTTGAAGTTAGATCCTGGCTCAAATCCTGTGTGACCTTGGGCTGGCTCCCTTTCCCCTCTGAGCCTCAGTCTCCTCCTTAGCACATGGGGCAAGGCCTCCTTGTTAGAGTTGTGGGAGGAAAATGCAAGTCACTTGTCTGGCACACCGTGCTCAGTAGGGGTGCGTGGGTTCTGCGTCTCAAGGCTTCTGGGGGAAGGGGTGGAAAAAGAGCAGTGCTGGGGACAGGTGTAGACTCAGGAGCCCTGCTGGCAATCGGGGAGTGTCTTTTCCCTGAGCACAAGCTCCAGAGCTTTTGAAATCTGATGCAGGTAAATGTGGGCAGGTGCCTCAGCTCCACCCCCAAGGGAGCCAGCTGGGTTGAGTCTGTTCTTGGAGCTCCAAATAAGGTCTCAGAAAAACAGGCGTGGAACCTGGGCGGTCTCTACCCTTCTGTGTGCCTGGCCTTGCCTTCCTTCTGGAAGCTGGCACCGACCACTTACATCCCAAGCCTGGGCTTGAATCTCTATTAGATTTGTCACATTTTAATGGCCTACAGTGCCCCTTGCTCTCCCCAAGTCTTGGATATGTCGGACTCCCTGTTCCTCCTCCAGCCAGGGGATGAGCACGCTTGGGGGAGGCAGGCCTAAGGCACAGGGCACACAGCTCCCTTTGTGAGGGCGGCTGAGTCACATGGGCAATGCCATCCCTGCCGGGCCCTGGGGCGGGTGTGACGGGAGATGGTGTTATCATGGGGCTACAGCTGCCCCCGCGCCTGTGGCCAGGAGGCTTTCCCACGGGAATGAACAGGGAGGTGTCTGGGAGTACTGGCCACAAAGCACATGGTCTGGATCCCAGGACCCCAGGTTCAAGTCTTGGCTCTGCTGCTGATGTTCTGTGAGGCTTCGGGAAGGTTCTCTTTTTGAGCCTCAGTTTCCATCTCTGTTAAATGGGAACAATCACCACTGTTTTGTAGACGAGATGCTGGACGTGAGCGGACTTCACAAACTGTGGAGGGCCAGGCCTTTGGCATTTGTGTTGACCTTATGATAACCGCAACGACATTGGCCATTATTTATCAAGCACCTACTACGGTCAGGCGTGGCGCTCAAAGCTTGATGAGGCCACTCAGCTTGCAAAGGGAGAAGCCTGGGCTGCAAGTGCTCTTGTCCAATAAAAACCCATGCCATGCAGGTGATGGTTGCCCGTGACCCTTCCCACAGGTGGGCACAGCTCTTCACCGTCTTTAAGGCTCACTCACATGGCCCTGGCTGGGGGCTGAGAGACGGAGAAAGGTAGAGCCTCTCCTCCCGGCTCTGTCACAGTGGGCTCCGTGGAGCTCAGTCGGCTTATCCCTGTCCTGGGGGCCGCGCGTGGTCGCAGCCCTGTGTCTGTTTCATGTTCAGCCTGCTCTGGACAGTCAAGCCCTTGCAAACACATCGGGGGTGCTCATTCGTGCCTGGGCTGTGTTGCTTTATGCATGTGGCCTTGTTAATTATTATCAGCATTGTCTCCACTCTATAGGGGAGAAGGTGGATGGCTGGAGAGACGGTGCCTGAGTCACCCAGCTGGCGGAGCCGGGAGGAGAAGCTAGTTGGCCTGAGCCCAGAGCCCGGGCTTCCAGCCTCTCCTCCATCCCTCAAAATGAAGACCCTTTTGCACCTTCACCTTCTGGCACTCCCTCCCCCTCCTCTGGCCTCTGTCACCAGTCAGTAATGCACGTGACCTTCTCTGAGCTTAGGGGATCCCAGCCCTGAGTCCCTGAGCCCCAGCGATGTGTTTCCAGGGGCCTGTTGGAAGGCTCCCCCACATGTCACGGGGGCACCCCCATTCTGCCGTATCCAAGGGCAGCCTCTTCCCTGCCTGCCAGCTCTGTACCCCATCCAGCACCCGCCCAATCTTCAAGGCAGTTCCTAACATCTCTTCTCTCCCTCTGTCTTCATGTGTGTGGGGTAAGGGTCCTAGCCCTGCTTCTGGTTTCTTGGATCAAAGTGTCCCCCCAACACCTCCCTCTGCCTCCATGTTCTCCACGCCCCACCAGACCTGCCCTCTGTCCACACTGCCGGTGTAAATCCTTAGAGTCCAAACCAGGCTTTTCCTCGCGGAATTACTCTGCATCTCTAAAATACCAGTGGCACCCAGCCCACAGGTATTGGGGGGGATGAAATGAGAATGATCCACATAGAACAGAGCATCTTACACAGTGAGTCTTATGGACACAGTACCTATTAGCAGTCCTGTTATTAGTACTAATAATAGGTACTATTGTAACTAATAATAATTTACTTGGTTGCTCATTTTTGAGGCTGGGAGCTCTGCGATACCAGTAACGAACTCCCAACATCACCCTGATGTGAGCCAGACTCGGGGCTGGGTGGGCCTGCTGCCCATCCCTGCTCTGGAGGCTGGCACAGTGCCCAGCACGTAGTAGGTCTCTGAGAAGCCCGGTGGTGACAGGGCAGACAGAGCTTTGGCAAGCTCTCTGCTACCCTGGCCGGCCCACCACATAGGCCTTTCCTATGTGGCCAGAGTGGCAGCTGGCTCCTGGCTTCTGAGTCCCTCGCTCAGATGTCCAGCTTAGGGTGCCCCTGCCTCATGCGGAGAGAGTGGCGCCCCCAACACTCCACCCATGTCCCGCTGGTCAGCACCCTCTGTGGTGTGTGTGTGTGTGTGTGTGTGTGTGTGTGTGTGT